CACTTTGATTATGGTATCACTGTACGCCCGGTAAGCCCGGTATACTACAACTGCCTAATAACTCACACATGCACACACCCATGGGCATCAAACACACAAGCGCTCTCTTCCAACTGATTTATTCATAGCTCGAAGGCATAAAATATACATAAAACATGTGCGCATTAACACCATAGAAGGCCAGCAGCATATATTATCAGTGCATACAGTTAATCAGTGTCAGACCCTCAAAGCGATGAACTGAAATTCACTCAGTAACAATGATAGCGAAGGGGCGTTTATACAGTGAGGAAACAATTTAGCCCAAAAATTAACAAAACGAGATGACAAGTATGAGCACCTGGTTGCGCATGTCATCTCGTGTGGTTGTGACGCCTGATTCTCTGAGACGGACATTCCAGCTAGAAGCGCAAAAAAAACTGCACATGAAGTTTTAGAGGCCTTTTTCATTGAAAAAAAAGATCACCGTGTAAGCGCCCCTCTGCTAACATTGTTACCAAGTGAATTCCAGTAAAGTGCATCAGCCACACGCTTTACGTTGATAATATTACCATCTGGTGTCGTGGAGGTTGCGAAGGGGAAGTTGAGACTCCACTCCAGGAAGCCGTCGATGAGGCGGAGCTCTTTCTTGCCGGCACAGGGCTGAGGTGCTCCGCGAGTAAATTGGAGCTGCTTTTATATAGTCCCTATAGAAAGGAAGCTAAGCCAAAGAACTTGAAGCCTTTATCAGAGGTGGACCTTGTGCTTCGCCCCGGAAGTGGCTCCCCCATCTTGAGAGTGGACGTGATTAGAGTGCTGGGCATGAGTCGCGGGAGTACAACGGTCAAACCACTGCGAAGATTTCAACCAAAACCGAGAACATGATCAGGTTGATTAATAGAGTTTTGAACAGAAAGGGGGGAGGACTCAGGGAGGGCAATCTGCTGTGGCTCTTTCATGCATTCTTCATGAGTCATATTAGGTACGGTGCAGCCATACACTCTTGGTACGGATTCGAAAAGAATCTGGAAACTCTGATCAGAAAAGGCATAAACAGGGTGTTGGGCATATCTTGCGAACAAGCACTGAACGGCTTGTGCAGCTAGGAGTCCATAACATCTCAGATAAGATCATTGAAGCCCAAGAGACTGCACAACTGGTGCGCTTGTCGTCTACCCCGGCTGGCAGATTCTGTTTGTCCTAGGTCGCAGTCCTGCGCTCGTAGAGGATCGCCGTCTTCAACTGCCGGATGAACAGCGTACTGCCATCCAGGTCTCGCCCTTTCCGCGGAACGTCAGTCCTCGGCAGAACGTAGGCAGGCGTCGGGCTAGGGCCATCGCACTCCTGAAAAGCATCAGAAACGATCCCAACTCAGTGCATTTGGTCGATGCCGCTCAGTACGGTTATTCAGCTAGGTTCTCAGTTATTTCCGTCAATCACATGAGTTCTAGCTATTATCAATGTTGCGTCAGTTAGGGACTCTACTCACTCAAAAGCCGTACAGTTGGCTGTAGCCCTTGCTCTTTTGGACGACAGTAGACCGGAAATATTCACCGACTCAAAATCAGCGGTCAGGGCTTTCGCCTCTAGTTCCGTCTGTGCTGAAGTATTTAAACTGCTTGAAAATAAGACACTTTCTCTACGTACTACTACCTGATTTCCTGCACATCTCAAACCCCTAATGGACTTTCTAGTAAACTTGAATTACGCTGCTCACTCCCGGGCGCACGCACTAACCCTCCACGCTGGGGAGGACGTAGGTCCGCAGGTTGGCAGTTGGATGTTTAGGGACTATTTACGTACCTTCAGTGAAGTGGCTAAACACTACCAGTTGAGTTGGCGGTTATTTGCTCCTCCGCACAGCAAGTTGTCTAGACCTCAAGCCATCACGTTTAGAATGTTCCAGACCAGGTCCTATTCAAGTCTCTTTCCTCAGCATGGTCTCCTCAGAGGCTTTGGACTTCACTTGTCCTCATTGTGGTGAGGTTAGTGGCTTCGAACATATGCTCTGGCGGCACCCCTTGTTACGGCACCCAAGTCGGCTCACAGAAAAGGATTTTGTCCAAGTGTAAAGTTACTACCACAACTACGGGCTTTCCGAGAGCCCACGATGCGGCGGTGAGGCTATAGGCCTCCCCGTTCCTACGTGGGAGCAGCCCGCAACGTTGCTCTAAAGGAGTAGCGTTTCTGAGGACCCAATGAAGTTCTGTGTATGTCTGTGCGTCATATGGGCAATAAGTAAATTTCGACCCTACTTCTACGGCCGACCATTAAAAGCAGTCAGCGATCACCATTACTTGTGCTGGCTGGCAAATCTGAAGGATCCGTCAGGCCGACTAGCAAGATGAAGCCTTAGGCTGCAAGAGTAGGATGTCACAGTGGTATACGAATTCGACAGAAAACACAGCGATGCCGACTGCCTGTCGCGCGCACCAGTCGATGCAAGTGTGTCAAAGGAAGAAGACTTCACTTTCTTAAGCTTGTCAACGCATCGAAAATCGCTCCACAACGAGATGACCCGGAGATGCTGCTTCTCATACAACGCCTGCAAAGACCCGATGTTTAAGTCCTGTGAATTTCTTCCCGAGGGCTCCCACTGTTCAGCCTTCAAAGAAATGTCCCTTACAAGAGGAAGTTTGAGCCCAACGGTGAAACGTTTTTACTGGTTGTACCCACAGATATGCGAGTAGAAATTTTGCTCGCATGTCACAACCAGCTGACATCTGGGCTTATGGGGGTGAGCTGTACTTTCGCCAGAATACAGATGAGATACTATTCGCCTAAACTACTAGCATCAGTGCAGCACTGAGTAAAAACTTGCCGGGCATGTCAAAGGCGAAAAATGGTCGTGGCTTAGCTCAGCTATGCCAGGATATACGTAGCGTTAGCAAAGGTTCAGCTGATTATTCTTAGCTTTCTAGATATCATGCTTACAGCTGTTCCAATGACACATACACATGGTATACGTATTATGTGGCACATGTATATTTATTTTGCCGGGTCATTACTTCAGGATCCGATGAGTTACGCTTCTCCGCTCTACTGCACCATTGAGCAGCATTTGCACTCTCCTCCTCCATGGCTATACCATAGTGGCAAACGCCAGTCAAAGGCGCTATCAAGTGGCTCTAGCGCAGTGTCAGATGGCGACTGCACAAAGAAGGCGCGCGCGTCAGCGTCCATATGTCTACCAAGGCTACGACGGCACTCCTCTGTAAAGCGCACACCGGCGGCAGCGAGTCGCGCGCGGCCGCGGCCGAGTGCGAGGGAGGTGCCGGCTCAGGTGCGTGACACCACTGGTCGTCTGCGCAGCGCATCGAATTGCGTGCTTACCGGCGCGAGCCGCGCGCGGTGGCGGCGGAGTATCATTGCGCATGCGCAGACCAGTGCCATGCGTAATTGGCTAAGCGAGGCCAGTGTAGCTAACGCTACGAAACTTCATCGTAAAACCAGCAGGCCTACTCTAGCGAATAGACACGCCGGATGCCTCATTCCAACAAGTTGGGATCGACCTGCTATGATCATTCCCGTCCTCATCTACAGGAAAGAAATAGTTGTCGCCACTGCCTATTGTAGTGTCGTGGCGCCACCTGTGAGTGGCACGCGCACTGAGTGCGCCCTAGTGTGTACTCTGTCAACAGATGTCTGTAACGGCACACACGTGATTGCATGCAGCCAATATCCCGTGTGTCCGCGTGTCCGTTGTGTGTCGTTCAATAAACGGCCGCTGGCCGGCTCGGTCTTTGTTGGGCTTCCGCGGGCTCCGGTCAACTCACTTCTACTGCGCGTGTTTTGGGCGCGTGCCGGTGCACGTTGCGTCTCGCGTTCCGTCGTCGGGCCCTCGCCGTCGGACGCCGCTCGCCGACACAACAACATGGCGACGAGGATGTTGTTCGCCTCGGTTCCTACCACGGCAGAAAGAACCTGCGAGTTTCCTGTTACTCCCGCCTGTTTCTGTCCTGTTTGATGCATCTGGCGTCCGCGAGGCCTAGCGCTCTTTGTGTGCAGACTCTGGCAAGCTCTCGCCTAGGCCTTCGCCCTTGCTCCGCTCCACACCTCTCTGTACTACCTCTCCTGTCGGCATGACTCTCTTCGAGCACCTTCCTGTCTTCCTCCAGCTGCCGGGGCCGCCCCCAGTTCCATGCACTCATTGGAAAAAAAAATGTTTCAGGCCCACCTCGAGGCGGCCGGCGGCAGCGACTGGAACGACGCGCGTCGTGCGTCGGCGCTCGTCAGCCTGCTGGGACGGGAAGGACAGCGGAGGTATTTCGCGGCAGCCGAACAGGAAGAAGCCCGACACGAGACGAGCAATGCGGCGTCTACTCCGAGCAACGCGACGCCAACTACGCCGGCGTCTGACCCAGATTCTTCGGCTCCGGCCGTTACAAAGGATGACAGTCTCGTGAAGAAGCTCGACCGGTTTTCGCCGCTTCCACTAATCCGCTAGTTAAACGTCACGAGTTCACTAGTCGTCGTCAACTCCCCGGTGAGAGTTTCCTCGACTACGTGACAGTCCTGAAGGAGAAAGCCGCACGATGCAAGTTTGGGCTCACGTACGCGGAACGCGCCCGCAATCAGACTATTGACGGCTCGTCCAACTTGCGGGTGAGAAAGAAGCTGCTGGCATACGGCGAAGAGTTGTTCTTGGAGAAAGCGGAAGAAGTCGGTCAGACGCTCGAAGCATTGTCGTTGGCGAATCAAGCGTTTGCTTCCAGTCAACCTGAACATGTCGAAGCCGTTGGGCAAGGCGCCCAATATGGTGGCGCGAAGAGAAAAATGGCCGCGTCAGTCGGGGAGGCCGTGACGTCACGTCACCAGGTCCAGGAGGCCAAGATTGCGACTTTAAGCCGCAGTCGTCGTAAGGGTACCGTGCTCCAGTCCCAAATGAGAAGTCTACAGGCGACTTCCAACCTCAATTGTGTGACCGCTGCGGAAGCAGACGGCACCACTCAAGTTTTCGAAATTGTCCAGCCCGAAGTCAACGTTGCAATACGTGCAACGCTCGGGGACATTTCGCGTCGATGTGCCGCAAGACTGCCCCTGTACAGCACTTCTCTTCGAGGGGAGCTGTCGACGTCGTACCGGAGCAGCAGGCCTCCACTCAGTTGAACTCAACTTCAAGCTCATCAGTGTTATCTTCGCATAGTCCTTTGTTGTCCGTGCTCACAGTTAGCACCTCATCCAGAAAAGACTTAGTCATCCACGCTGTGGTCGATGGTGTTACCCTGCGACTACTGGTGGATACAGGAGCGTCTGTATCTTTGATGACTGCAGAAGACTTTCAGCGTCATTTCAGCAAACAGCACAGCCTGTCCAAAGTTGTAGTCGACTTGCGAAACTTCTCCAACCAGCGCATCGGGATCCTTGGCTCCTTCCAAGCTCCAGTGAAAGAGTTGCAGCGGTCTTGCTCCGTGGTCTTCTACGTCACCGATAAGGACACATCGCTTTTGGGCCTTGACGCCATTCAGCGACTGGGCATCCAGATTGACGGCGCGTCGTTAACGTGTCGACTCGCATCATGTGAAGTGCAGTGTCCCTCCAACGTGCCTTCGGGCTTCCAGCAGCTTTTCAGCGAAGAGTTGGGTCTCGTCAAGAGTTTCATTCATCGCATTCAACGGCGGCCAGGTGTGACTCCGGTTGCATTCAAGCTGAGACGTCTCCCTCTGGCTCTTCGCAATCAGGTGGTGACCGAGTTGCGACGACACGAGGACTCGGATGTTATCGAACGCGTCGACGCTTCCGAGTGGGTCTCGCCGCTCGTCGTCGTCCGCAAGAAAAATGGAAGCATCCGGCTGTGTGTAGATCTCAGGGAACCGAATAAGGCAATTATCATCGAGGGGTATCCTTTGCCGCACGTTGAAGAGTTGTTGCAGATGTTTCATGGAGCCACTTGTTTTTCTAAGCTAGACTTAGGGTCAGCTTATCACCAGCTGTTGTTAGAGGATAGCAGTAGGGACTTAACGACGTTCATCACGCATGATGGCTTGTTCCGGTTTAAGCGTGGCTGTTTCGGTCGGGCGTACGCGCCTGCAGTTTTTAAAAAAAATGATGTCCCAGATTTTAAAAGATTGCAAGAATGTAATTTGCTATCTTGATGATGTCCTTGTGTGGGGTAAGACTCAGTCTTAGCATGACGCGAGCCTAATTGAAGTCTTGACTTGCATTGCCAACAGTGGCATGAAGTTGAATGATAAATGTCTTTTTTCCGTGAAATAACTTAGCTTCTTGGGCCACCGGATTTCAGCTGATGGCATATCGCCGTTAGAAAGTAAAGTAAAGGCTATAGTAAATGCCCCAGCTCCTCTAGACATTAAGTCTTTACAGTCATTTTTAGGTCTGGCAGGATACTATGCCAAGTTCATTGATCACTATGCAGACCCAGTTGAACCGCTGCATCTCATGCTCAGGCAGGGCCAAAAGTTTTGCTGGTTGGAGGATGCCCAACGCAGTTTTAACCATATGAGAACGCGCCTGACTTGTTCGCCTGTCATTAAGGTGTTTAATCCTGAGCTGCCTGCGTTGGTTACAACCGATGCATCTGACGTGGGCATCGGGGCTGTGTTACAGCAGTGGTATGGTCCTAAGCTTGAAACAGTAGCCTTTGCGTCGAGAACCTTGTCAGATACTGAAAGAAAGTACTCTGTGGGTGAACGCGAAGCGCTTGCCTGTCTATTCGCGTGTGAAAGGTGGCATATTTACCTCTGCTGTAGACGTTTCACCCTTAGAACCAACCATCAGGCTGTAGTTGCTTTGTTAGCCGTAGGTGATGCAGGCTGACGGCCTTGAAGGATTTCGCGGTGGTCAGTTAGACTTTTGTATTACAACTTTGACATAGAATATTGCAAGGGCTCAGAAAATGTGGTCGCTGATGCCCTGTCTAGGATGTCAATTCAGACCTGTCCAGAACTTAGCAAGGATGAAGAAATAGTGTCTTTAGTGACATCTGTAGTTGACAAAGAAACCGTCCAACTTGCAACGAATGCAGATGTGACGTTGCAAAAAGTCTGAATGTGTATCCAAGGGCTGGCTTTTTAAGAAGCATATAAACAATGAGTTAATGGCTTACTTTCATGTTAGGAATGAACTTTCTTGTGTCGACGGATTACTCATGCGTGGTGACCATGTAGTAATTCGTAGTGTTCTGGTACCTACTTTCCTCCAATTAGCACATGAAAATCATCAAAGGATAGTACGTACTAAGCAACTTCTGCGTGAAAGGTATTGGTGGCCCCAAATGGATCGTTCTGTAGAAGAACACGTCAAGCATTGTCACATCTGTCAGCTGACAGACAAGCCGGCCAAGCCGCGTGTAGCACCGTTGAATGGCCTGAAGGGTCGTGGCAAAAGGTGGGTATGGACATTGTCGGCCCGGTAAATGCATCTTTTCCCAGGTATCTTGTTACCTTAGTCGACTACTATTCAAAATGGCCTGAGGTTCTTGGCATGAATTCTATCTCCACAGAGATGTCATTAAGCGGTTGGAATCGTCGTTTAGCCGGGAAGGGCTACCAGAGTTCTTAGTAACTGACAATGGTCCACAATTTGTCTCTGTACAATTTCAGGAATATCTAAAGGAACAGGGCATCCGTCATATATTTTTGTCGAATTATTACCCCCAGGCCAACGGTCAAATAGAACGCCTTAACAGGGTTCTTAAAAAACATTTGCAGGTAGCCAGACTTGAAGGTAAAGTTGCCTCGAGGAGCATCACACAATTTTTGAGTTAGTATAGGGTCACAACACATGCGGTGACTGGCCTGTCTCCAGCTTTTTTTTTGCTGCACGGTCGACAACCTCGTTCCAAAGTAGACATTAGCAACTTTAGGATTCGTCCTAAAGTATCGGAGTCATCCAATGGGTTGCCTCATGTCTGGAATCAGGTTGCAGCGAAACAGAATAAGAGCAAAGGGTATTTTGACAAAAGAAAAGGTGCGCAGCAAACCCGCATAAAGTTCGGCGATTTGGTAAAGGTAAGACTCCATAAGAAAGGCTTTTTCAAGTGTAGTAGGCCTCTTACAGTGAAAGCTCAGGTTGCGCCATCCACTTTTCTCCTCAGTGACGAAAAAATGTGGAATGCATCCAAGTTAACAGTAATTCCTAGGGATTCTTTCCAGAATGCTGCCCTTTCTAGTACACCCAAAGAACTTATTTACTCTTATTCCAGTTTAGATCTTTGTGGCAGTCAGTTTCCTGGTGCACCTACGTTGCAGGGCTCCACCCCTAGTTTTCAGCCAGACTCTGATTCGTCAGAGATCTCTTATAGTGAAGGGTATGAATCAGTTGTTCCCCAAGGAACGTTGGGAAGCCAGCAGGACCCGGTGCGGGTACCTTTTTCAAGTAATCCACTAAATCTCAACCCTGGGGAGGGGGAAAGTGAAGGGGCTACAAGGTTTTCAAAGACGACCGAACCTGGTCACACTTCACCAAGTTCTACTGAGACTTCTATGCGTCCGCGCCGTCAAACAAAACGACCTGACTGGCTCAAAGATTTTGTCACTTCAGGTCAAAAGAGTTTTTCCTGTAATGCCATGGCTAGTGGGCCCAGCCACGACATCGCAGGTGACTTTCAGTTATGTCTTTTTTTGCAGTGTATTTCGTTTCACAAGATGTGTGACGTATCGTTTGTATTAGGCCACTTGTGCCTGTGCGCGAACTGTTCTTCTCCCCGCCGCTCGTGTGGCATGAACATTCCTTAGTGGAGATCCTGGGACTTTCTCTAGTGTTACCCTGTGATAATGCTCATTTTGTTGACGGGGGGGGGGGATTATGTAGTGTCGTGGCGCCACCTGTGAGTGGCGCGCGCACTCAGTGCGCCCTAGTGTGTACTCTGTCAACAGATGTCCCCTGTAGCGGCACACACGTGATTGCATGCAGCCAATCCCGTGTGTCCGCGTGTCCGTTGTGTGTCGTTCAATAAACGGCCACTGGCCGGCTCCGTCTTTGTTGGGCTTCCGCGGGCTCCGGTCAACTCACTTTTACTGTGCGTGTCGGGGGCGCGTGCTGGCGCACGTTGCGTCTCGCGTTCAGTCGTCGGGCCCTCACCGTCGGTCGCCGCTCGCCGACACAACAACTATCTCACCCGTTACGCTGAGACTAACTCTCTGTCCAAGGCGACAGCTCTTGGCGTTGCGAAGATCTTCGTCAACAACATAGTGCTGTGACATCGTGCGCCCATTGTTGTTATTACAGACCATGGAAATGCCTTTGCTGCAGACCTAATGCAATGTCTGATACGAACGACACGCATCGATCATAGAAAAACTATGGCGAACAACCCTTAAACAAATGCCTTAACGGAACGCCTCAACAGAACTCTCACTGACATACTTTCAATTTATGTCGATGTCGAACATAAATTCTGGCTTGCGATGTTACCTTAAATCCCATTCGCGTGTAATACAGCCATCCAAGAAACAACGCGAGTGACGCTATTCGAACTTTTATTCGGGCGAAATGTAACCACTCCATTGAATTCCATCTTGCCACTAAATAAACAAAGCAGCAATTCACCTGAATTAGATGATTTCTTGCAAAGAGCTCGGGGAAGCATGATAGATGGCAAAATACAGAGTACGCCGCCAACAGTGCATCTATTCCAGACTGTACGAATAGAACAGTAGTTAATCGCATTATCAGTCTGGAGACAAAGTGTGCACACAGCCACTGGATGAAAAAGCGCTTTTTCATCCAGCGGCCGTGGTATGGATATGGGCACCTGGACACCGCCATCGTAGGCTCTCTGAATAGCTTCTTTGGAGATACTTCGGCCCCGAGGTACAGCCGCGGCCACGTCTCTGCAGAGCGTTCGAACAACCAGTTTTCGCTCTGCGGGCCGAAACCTTGAGGCAGTTTCGGGCTCTGAAGTAGTGTATCCAGAACATGCACGGCCTAGTTGTCAGGGTGACCATGTAAGAGCCTGATACTGCCCCAATGTTTCGCCCCGCACAGCAAAAACCGGCTGTTCGCGTGCTTTAAACAGACGTGGACGCGGCTGTACCTATACGAAGTTAAACCCGCTGGACATACGGGCTCAAGATGCCGCAGTGAAACCGAGATAGTCCACGTCATCCACATAAACCCTATAGGTGATCGGAATACGAAGGACATTATGCAAGCATCCTTTTATTACTTAGCACATTGAGACAATGCGTATAGGAGGGGGTAATGCTGCGATATATTGGCCACAGTCAAATAGAGCGCTTTTCACCGTGGCGCACAGAGACCGTGGTAGCACGATCACCTGGCCAGACAAAGCTCACATGGGGGTTATTTATGGTGAAGAAAAGGAAGAGGTGTTCTGGAATTTGTTTTGCCTTCGACAGATTTGCAATTTCCTCACGTTAACTTATGGCCAAAGGTTCGCCCTAATAATTAAGTTTCTTTTATAAGCATGCGCGCCTCAGTATCGCTCCAATATCTCGCCAATACTCCTGAATCAATTCACAATTGAAGCAAACGGTGAGGCGACCTTCTTGGGAATTTAACTGGACCGTCACTCAAAGTTTAATTCGCATGTTGCATGCCTGCGATAACAGAAAAGTCTTCGGGCATACGTGTTTTATTTAAATCCCGTGATTTATTCTCCCATACTATATTACTTTCTTTGGACTACGCTTTCATTCATTCTCATATTATTGACTGTATCACTTCTTGGGGTAATGCTTACAGTAGTCATTTCGTCTTTCTACAAGATATGCAAAATCGCTCCATTAGAATGTTTAACCGCAGTCATTATCACAGTGACGCCAAAGCACTCCTACATGCTAATAACATTCTAACGGTCAATAACGCTTTCAATCACAAGCTAGGAGTAATAGTTTTCAAGCAAATAAAAACACAGCGTCCTTTCATTATTACCTTTCCACCAAGTTATACGAGAATAAAAGCTTGCTTGCACACAATGGTGATATCGTC